ACTTATTAACTTATATCCCAGCAGTCCTGGTTGCCGTTAAGTGAATGCCCTGGTCATTAGGTGAGCCAACTTCCGGCCGGCTTCCCACAATCAAGCCGGGGGGGAAGCCAGCAGGAAGTTGCAAGCCCCACGTGCTGCCAAGTGGGGGAGGGAGTGAGGGGATGCATGGGAGGGTCAGGAACTGCTTGGATTTCGGCATGGAGCTTTTTCTCCATGAGACAAGAGGGAGTCCTCTAGGCAGGCAGCAGTGGCTTGCAATTGCCAAGTGCCCTGTGATCATATGATCACCATTTTCAATCTTCCCTGCCAGCTTCCCCAGAATGTCAATAGGGAAGCTGGCAGGGAAGGTCACAAGCCACTGCCGCCTGCCGAGAGGGCTCCCTCTCGACTCTGGGGGCTGGCTGAAAAAGCTCTGTGCCAGAATCCTGCTTGGATTTCAGCACCGAGTTTTTTTAGCCAGCCCCCAGGGACAAGAGGGAGCACTGCGAAGAAGGGGGGGAAAAGGCTGCTTTCGGCTCTTTTTCCGTTCTTCGCAGGGTGAAGCCCTTTCTGGAGCTCCTAGAAGGGGGCGGGGCTGGCTTTGTGCTGTGAAGAAGGGGAAAAAAAGGCTGCTTTCAGCCCAACACAAAGCCAGCCCCATAGGGCCCAGCAGCTAGACCAGGCATGTCTTGTCAGCAACAGGAGCAAGAAGTCAGCTGGGGCAATGGAGCACAGGGTGGCAGGGGGCCAAAAGGGCAGAGATGGGGAGATAGGTGGGTGGGGAGAGTTGAAGCACCCCTACTGTCGTAAGTGTGGGCGGACTGCCAAGTGTCCAAATTTTGGTCACATGACTGCAGGGGCACTGCAACGGTCATAATTTCAGGCACAGGTCATAAGTCAATTTTTTCATCACCATCATAATTTCAAATGGTCACTGAATGAATGGTTGTTAAGCAAGGACTACCTGTAATTATATGCCACTTTTTCCAGTGAACTAAAATTATTTTCACACAGGATCTGGATAGGACTGTAAGACACACAAAATGATATGCTGCTGTTGTTGTTCAGTCACTTCCAATTCTTTGGGACCTCTTCAATATCATGTCACTAGGATGTCAGGCTTTAAGATCAGGATAGAGTCCAGTTTGTATTTTTGCCCTGTGCTGATTATATACTGCCCTGTGGAGTATATGTTTTACATTTTTTTACTTGGCATCTTTTATTGTTTTTCCTACTATTTTTATATGTATGTTTCTGTTTTTATGCTTGTTCACTGGCCAGAGTTATTTAATTAAGATGGGCAGTCATATAAATTTGTATAATAAATGTCTGTTAATGCTTTGAGTTCTCATAAGCTCAAACTTGGGTCATCAGTGATAGTACCTAACCATCTGTCTACTTGTCGATTGCCTTTGACCCTTTCAAGTATCACAGTCTTCTCCAATGACTCTTGCCTTTGCACTGTATGTCCAAAATATTTAAGCTTCAGCTTTATTATTGGTGTTTCCAGTGAACAGACTGTATTTACTTCACACAGTACTGAATTATTGTACTTATCTTTCTTGCAATCCAAAGTATTCTCAAGAATCTTGTCCAGCACCACACTTAATTCTGTTGGTCCAGCTTTCACAACCATATGTTATAACTGGAAAATCATGGCCTTCAAAATATGTACTTCTGTTGTATGTGTAATCTCTCTGCATTTTAACATTTTGTCTAGAAAGACTATACATACAAAGACATATATATAAAGACTGCTGCCTTTAATATAAAATACATGGAGAAGCTAACTATATCCAAGTGTCATAATGGAATATTTTTTTTCATTATAACACTACTTTAACATTAATGCATTCATGCAGCCTAGACCTTTTCACCAAATGAAATACAAGTGATCAATAAAACAAAACAAAACAAAAAGAAAGCAAGGCAAACATAACACATATTTCTATGATAAATATACTGTTTAATATAAAGTGTCCTAACATTAAGGAGCACTGAAACCTTAACATCTCCACGTAAGTCCAGAAACGTGAAATGTCATTGCTAGTCCCTATGGACCCGCATGGAGAATTCAGGATCTTGGTCCATGCTTCTGAAGGAACCCTAGGTTAGGGAAGATTGGTACAGACAATACAGCACTAAATGGACTAGTAATCTGAACCAATCTAAGTCAGTTTCCTATATTCCTAAAATGAAAGTTATGATTTTAGAAGTTGTTTATGGACAGTCTTGGATGTCTGAAAATCAAGAGTCAGCAAGATAAGTATCAATGAATTGCATTAATTTTTGTATTGTTCTAGCCAGAAAGACTACTTTGTTGTTATTCCTGAGTTTGGGGATGGTGTTGCTATAAATGTAAATAAATCATACACACAAAACGTTCACCAGCACAGAAAAAGAATTATTCATATATTTCTGATCTAAATGCAATAACTCCAAATGAGTAAAACCATGAGTGTGAGGGAACTATGAAGGATAAGGTTTCTCAACAAGAGAGCAGA